AATTGTATTTACATCGAGTCATTCTAGACACAAAATTTTGCTTTCGTATTTCAATCAACGAGACAAGTTCAAAGGTATTTATTAGAGTTAAAAGTAAAATAACTATTTACATATATATAGCCATAAAAGAAAAAAAAAACCAAAACACCAGCGACTTAAAACATTGTAAAATTCCTCCTTAGTGCTAACACTTTGCAGCTATCTCAGTAAACTATTCCATCATCTACCAAACAGAATTACCATTCCGGTGAAAGTTAATTATTGATGCCCGAAGTTAATTGCTCAAACTGAGTAGCGGTGAGTAAGCAGGAAAGAACTTACATGTATTGGGTTGGGCAGGGTCGGAGTAGATTGTATAGGTTTTCTCTTGACATTTCTTGGGGAAAAAAAAATATTTATAGAGAGAGAATATGAGTACGGAGGGAAGCCATGCATGGGATGGGGCGATGGGCGAGAGAACGAACAATCACACATGCACACATGTTAGCAGCAGATGGCCAATCATTTTGCTGTCCAATTCTTTAGAGACAGATAGATAGATAAAGAGAGAGTCTTCGAATCTACTTCCCAGTTTCGTCGCGATTTCAGAGCATTTGATTAGGTGGCGGGTTGTGTTAGTGAGAATCTAACTTCCAGGTAATAATCTGTTCTCTCTCATGGCTTAATTAGTAGCCATGTTAGTGACGGATTATTAATTTATATATATATATATATATATATATATATATATATATATATATATATATATATATATCCACCCCTTCCTTTGTGTATTGTTTTTCTATATCACCATGTGCTCAAGCACCGGCTTATTTATTTATTTATATGACATCATATTTTTTGTTGTTGAAAGTTGAAACCCGGCGTAATACCTAACCCGCCATGTTTCTTGCCATGTGGATTTAGATCTTGTGTAATATATTGGTTAGAGTCCTCGATCGCGAGAATACAATATGAGTAGCGTTCGTATTTCTACACAATTAAATTTGATTTTGTTCTACAATGGATCAAATTTTGGCGTCGTTGCGCTGAGGAATAATGTAATTGATTGTAAGAAATGGGATCTCATACTTTGTACCTTTGTATTTTAAATATTTGCTTATTTTAGTTTATTCCTAGAATTCTAACGCACTTGCTATTGCTTTTTTCACCTAGTATTCTGCTTGTGTGTGCCGGATTTCGAAAAGGCAGGAGTAGAGGAGAAAACCTTTTGCAGCCCAGGCACCATTTTTTGGCTGAATTTTGACAGCTTGAGCGCCATTTTTTGCCCGACTTCTTCCAGCCAAAGACAGTTGAGGTCTAGCCTAGTATCTTTCAACTAAAGATTATTGAAGGCAAACTTGAAGTTACTAATTGTACCATAGATATGAGGTTGGAGGTCTAGAGGAAGGAATGGCAGGAATCGAAAGAGGACTTCGAGCAGCGGCTCAATGAGATTCCTAAATATCCTAGCGAGGGAACCAATGAAACCCCTCAATTATAGGGCTGGAAAAATGGAACAAGCCATTTGAAAACCGTGGACCAAACTGTGTTGCATATAGGGGTGGCTGGTCGGTTTCCAGTTAGCGGCTAACCGCCGATTTTAACCGAAAATCACCGGTTAGTAGCTAACCGAAAACCGCCGGTTATTAAGGTCGGTCGGTGGTCGGTGAGTCAGAGGGAGTTTTCGGCTAGCCGAATAACCGACAGTGAATAACCGCGGTTAACCGGCTAGCCGAAATTAACCGGTCTCAGTCCCAAAACCCCCTGCCCTACCCTTACCCTTACCCCTGCCCCCTCCACCTCTCGGCTCTCGCCAACCTCATCCCTTCCGCCGCCTAATCACCACCCCACCAGACAAAAACCCAGAATCCTCCGGCTTCCCTCGCTTCGCGACATCGCCGGCACCACGTCCGGCCTCCGCCTTCGACCCCTGACTCTCCTACCTCAAGTCGCCGTCTGCTCCCCGACTCCTGCTGCTTGATCGGGCCGGCCACCGTCCCCGCCGCCAGCGAACTGATCGAGGCCATGAGTGAAGGAGAGAGGCAGATCGAGTGAGAGAAGGGGAAGAAGAACAGTTGGGAAGAATTTTTGGGAGAGAGAAGAATGAGAGAAGGGGAATTGATTTTGGGGGGATTTTTGGAAGAGAGAAGAACGGGAGAAGAAGGGGAATTGATAGGGATGTGGGAAATTGATTGGGGAAAGAGAGAGAAAAAAGGGGATCTGATCTTTTTCCTTTCCCTTCTAACGTCTCTAACCATATATGAATATGAACCTAATAATTTCTCTTTAATGATTTTCGTAAATTGCAACTATCATTAATAATTTTGTAAGTAATTAATTTTTAATTAATTACTTTCCAAATCCCACCATCGTAGTTAATTTTGGCCGGGAAAACGCGTTTTGGACGTGCCATTTATTGTTGGCGACATGCATAGGTCCGGTTACCACGGCTAACCGAACCAAAACTGATAACCGACCAATCGGTGGTCGGTTAGCCGTGGCACTCTCACGGTCGGTGGTCGGCAGCCGTGTGGGGTGCCTCGGTTTAACCCATAACCGGGTTTTCGGTTTTCGGTTAAACCGAAACCGACCGGTTGCCACCCCTAGCTGCATAGTTTGGTTCGAACCATAGACGGTTAAAAATGGCATGATCTGGCACATGGTTTGTATTATATAACACTTTAACTTTTTGGTCAGGTCTAGTTTAGACCGCAGTTCACTGGACCAAACACTAGCTAGACTCGTTCCAATCACAATTTGTGTTAGCAACTCAATCGACCACTCTCCTAAATTTTTCACAAGACCCAAGTCTCAACCCTGATTTTTGAATCCCGCCCCCTCCTTCTTTTATAAACCACACTCCGCTGGAGAGTAGAGATGATCATGTCTACATATAACATTATGTTAATATTCATGACACTATGTCAAAATGGATTGCTTTGACTTTGTGTCGTTGTTATTCACTTGGATTAGGGTATCAAAAGTATGTATGTGCGCTGGAAATTTATGTTTTAAAACAAAATAAAATTCTAGGTTGACTAAACAAATTATTCTTTTTCTGTCAATGTTGTTTGCCTAGTCCAAACCGTACCGGACTAGACCGCACATGCATGGTGTGGACCGCCTATTAATTGGTATGAACCCCGATCTATACTTCACCTTTTCGGTCTGGCTCTTAGACCATATGTATATGTATAGTCCAATCTGGACCAGACCACACCGTTTTCCAGCCCTGCCCAATAATATAATTGAGGATTCTACTTTAACAATCTTCCATCTTATTTCCCACGTGGATCCTAGAGGAAATTTTCCAGAAATACCATCCAAAAACTAAAAAAATTCAAAAATAGCACCATTTTCCAAAAATAGTGGCTCCATATGACGGTTTACGAAAATCGTAGGCGGGTGCCGCGATTTTCGTTCCTGCCTGCTGAAAACCGCATGGCTCGCCGCGGTCAGATTGACCGATCGTAGCGAAATTTTTTTGATTCCGCAAAATTTTTTGAGATCTTGCAAGTCACAAACCCCTAGCTAGTTTGGTAGAGCCTTCGTCCCGAAAAATGTCGTTTGCTACCCTGAACGAGTTATTTTTTAATTCGTCATAGCTATTTTTCAGAATGTATATGGATTTTTGAAAAGTAAAGCCAAAGTTATACCCAAAACCCCATATATCCAAAAATATTCAAATTCTGAAAATTCCTTCCTAGTAAAACTTGTAGTTCTTAAAAATTTATGCGAAATTAAAAAAAATTAATGATGTTCGAGTTTCGGAGCACAAAGTTATTGCATTTCAAAGTTTGGTGAAATCAAAAAATTGTTGCGGGACCAAACCACCCACGGCCGTTTGTGGCTTGCAAAATCTCGAAAATTTATGCGAAATAAAAAAAATTGCTATGATCGGATACGCGAGCGCAAAGTTACGTCTGTTGAAAGTGTCAGGGAAAAAAAAATTCATATGCACACCGCGGGATGGGGTGGCGGTTTTGCCCCTGATCGCTGAGGTGGCGCACGGTCAATCTGACCGCGGCGAGCCCATGCTGTTTTTCAGCCGTCAGGAACGAAAACCGCGGCACCACCTGCGATTTTCGTATAAACTGACATATAGACCGCGATTTTGGAAAAGGGTGGTATTTAAAAAAAAAAATCGGAAATGGATGGTATTTATAGATTTTTTTGAGTTTCTAGGTGGTATTTCTGGAAAATTTCCAATCAGGCGCTAATAGCTCTTATTGTACAAAATTTCAGTGTTTTTTCAACATATAATCTTATAATCTTGTGGTTTTTTGTTGATTCATACACTCTCGACAATGCTCTCGACTGCTGTGACTGCTCAGCCTTCTCCGGCGCCGGTTGGCTTTGAGACTGGCCGGCCGCCGGACACAGGCCAGACTCCTGAGACGCGTCCTGCTAGCGCCCTGCCCTCGGAACCGAAAGATCATCTCTCCTCGAGTGAGATGATTGTTGATCCAATCGCCGGAGATATTCAGGCGGGCGCTAATGCATCAGTGGTTGAGGTGAATATCTTTCCTGACGACCAGATGATCCTTTCGGATGCACCATCGTCACAGGCGACGAAGGCTCTGAAACAACCTTTCTCGTATGCGAGCGCTCTCACGGGAGGGCCGATTGCATCTACGCCGCAGTCGATGCCAGTTCAATGGACCCCGGTCGGGGAGCACGACCTGATCCCCGGCGAGCGAAATGGCGAGCCAACGCTGAGTATTTCCATGGATTTCAAGAATAGGCTGTGTGCCCCGTGGCATCGAACGTTGGCGATTCGGCTGCTGGGCATCAAGATTGGTTTCCACACCCTCACCTCTCGCCTAAGGGCGCTATGGCGACCGACAGGATCAATGGAGGTCAGGGATCTTGATGAAGCCTGCTATCTGGTGAAGCTCAACAATGACCAAGACTACTTTAAAGCGCTTACGGATGGACCTTGGATGATTTTTGATCATTACATGGCTGTCCAACAATGGACTCCGAAATTCAAGGTCTCGGACCCCCTCCCAAAGACGATGATCGTATGGGTTCATCTCCCCGAGCTGAAAATCCACTTTTACCACAAGGAGGTGTTGACGACGTTGGGTAACTTGATCGGACGCACGATCAAACTCGACTATCTCACCCTCACCCAACAGAGGGCGAAATTTGCACGGCTGGCAGTGGAAGTTGACCTTTCTAGGCCTCTCGTTCCAAGAATTTGGCTGGACGATGACTGGCAGCCAGTTGAATACGAAAATCTACCAGTTGTGTGCTTTGAGTGCGGAAAAATTGGCCATTCGTCGACATCCTGCCCCCTGCTCCGACCTGCTTCTGTCCCGACGGTTGCTGGTATCCCTGCCGACGGCTCCCAAGCTTCGCCGGAGGTTTCTCCGGAGGCTAACGCGGGCTTCGGCCCGTGGATGCTAGTCACGCGTAAAGGTCGGCGGAATCAGAGCGAGTCGAACAATAAAGGAAAGGAGAGAGTTTCGGGGAACCCCATTAAAGCCAAGGAGAAGGACCTGGGGAATTCCCACCATGAGAACGCGGAAAAAAATGGAAAGGGTGCTCTGAAAATCAGGGATTCGGAAGCTTCCTTATCGGTGGTGACGCAGCAGCCCTCGGCTCTCCTACAACGGTCTTCGGCCCAGAATAGGAAAGACAATGGGGGAAAGCGGTATGGGGAAGAGAGAAGGAATGGCAAGGAGGTTATGAATGAGGACGGGCCGCCCGTTGGAAGAGGCTTGCTGGGCCCTGGCCCATCTAAGGGATCTGCCACCAAGAAGGATCAGCCCAAATCGGAGGGCCTCTTGGCCTCGTCATCCAGTACAAAGCATCCGACACACCCCATGTTACTTAGCAGGCCGAACGGGGAATCTTCATCTGGGCCCAGCGGGCAAGACAGCCCAAAGGCTCTGCTCCTCTCCCCTCCACCCACGCTGGTTTCCACAGGGCCGAACGGGACGGTTTTGCAAGTGATCCAAGTTCCATCCCAAAACGAGGAGCAGCAGCGCCGAGCTGACCAATCCTCGCCGTCAACGGCCAACCGAACAAAAGGAAAGAAGAACTCCAAGGGGCGTTCGAAGAAGGGATCGCCAGCGAAGCTGAATCCGGTCCGCCCACTCCAGATATGGTCTCCGATGAAAGATAGGAAAGCCAAATCGAAATCGAGGATGGCATCTCTCACCCTTTAGGAGATTAATGCTTGGACGGAGGCGGCTCAATCGGCGACGAATTTTCCGGCGGCGAAGGGCCTGAGCAGCGCCCCTCCTCCCCCCTCGAGCCATGGAGAATCGACGAGCGACCCGCCCCCCACTTCGGTCTTAACTAGGGGTGGAAAACGGGACGGGATTGGGTACCCGTCCCGTTTGAAACGGGTACCCAATCCCATTTGTAGAGGAAACTCCATCCCATATCCCAAACTCTTATGGGTTAACGGGTACCCATTACCCGTACGGGACGGATAACGGGTACCCGCGGGTATCCATACTTATAATTCCCTGTCAAACAAATCTCCCTACCGTCTCGCACAATGACTAGTCTTAACTGAAATACAATTGTGAGCTGATTTAATTTCTTGTAGGGATTTTGACGTTGGAAGAAAAGAGACAGGGCAGGGGAAAGGAGAGCACGCGAGGAAGAAGACTAATAGAGATGTTTTTATTCTAATCGTCTTTCTTCTAATTAAATAATGGGCTTAAAGCACATAAAGCCCAAAAGAGATAAACTTAAAATAAATCCCACAAATTCCCTTCTCATCTCCCAGACCGAGTGGGCTTTGAGGCTTGTCTAGGTTGTTTCACAACTTAACTAATAGGCTTGTTTAAGTTTGGTTGGGATTCAAAGACCGAGAAACAGAGAAAGAACAGGGAACAAGAACTGCAGAAGATACCAATGTTTAGTTGCAATCAAGTTCAGAGCAGAGAGACCATGGATCCTTCGTCTTGACGGGTAGTACGGGTACCCATAATACCCAAACGGGTATTAACGGGTAACCCGCGGGTACCCGTTGTAGAGTTTATTGATCCCAAATCCCATCCCGAAAAAAAAATTAAGGATATTTGGGTACCCGTAACCCTAAAAAAATGGGACGGGTATGGGTATACCCAAATACCCGTTTCCCGTTGTCCACCCCTAGTCTTAACTGGCGGATCCGCCTGATGGCCCCGATTCCCGCGTCTGTTTTTTCCGAGACCTGGTGCTCTCGTTTCCTCTTTGTCTCCCCATTTCCTTTTATCATTATTATGTCGTCTATTCCTCCTATTAAAATTTTTGCTTGGAACGTTGGCGGTGCAGGTAGTAAGGCCTTTGCCCGAGCCTTGAAGCTCTCAATTCGTCAACATCGGCCAGATTTTGTCATCCTGCTGGAGCCGCAAATTAGTGGGAACTCGGCTGATTTGGTGTGATAAGCTGGGATTTTCCAATTCCATCAGGGTGGATGCTGAAGGCAGAAAAGGAGGGATCTGGATTTGTTGGGATGGCGGTCGTTTCTCGACTGAGCTTCTTTCTGCATGTAACCAGCATATTTCAATCCGAGTTCGGCAAGGTAGAAGTAGCTCGTGGGTGCTGACCGCCGTCTACGCCTCGCCTCATCAACACCTCCAAAGATCTCTCTGGGACAGCATTATCGACCAAAGCAAAATGTTGGAGGAACCTTGGATCCTCACTGGCGATTTCAACGCCATTCGATCCCTGGCGGAGAAGACTGGCTCATCCTCAGCAGCTACCATCAGGCGGTGCCGAAAGTTCAATGACAGAATCAATTCTGCCGAGTAGATCGATCTGGGTTTTTCGGGTTCGAGGTTCACGTGGACGAGGGGAGACTCTTTTCAGTCCCACAAAGCAAGCAGACTAGACCGGAGTCTTTGTAACCTGAAATGGAATGAATGCTTCCCTTCCACCTCGGTGTTGCATCTCCCCCGGCTTCAGTCTGATCATAATCCTATCCTGACCACTGTGGCTACTCAGGGGCCGTCTCTGCCCGATTCTCATCCTTTTAAGTTTGAAGCAGCTTGGCTCACTCATAATAATTTTCAGTATTTTGTCGCAGGTACCTGGGAGGAGGATGCTCTTCTTACTCATGCGCTTACCTCCTTGGCAGAGAAACTCAAGGTGTGGAATAAGAATTTTTTGGAAATGTTCAGCAGAAGAAGGGAAGATTGTTGGCCAGATTGCAAGGGGTTGAAACTAGACTCTCTCACGCCTTCTCTCCAGCCCTGGCCAAACTTCATGCTAAGCTAGAGGCTAAGCTCGACAAGGTGCTCGAGCAAGAAGAGCTCTTGTGGTTTCAGAGATCTAGAGAGCAGTGGGTGAAGTTCGGGGAGAGGAATACGGCCTATTTTCATCATCAGGTTAACATTCGGAGAAGACGCAACAAGATCCTATCGCTCCGAGATGTTAATGGTGACTGGGTGGAGGAGCCACAGGCCCTTGCGGCTCTGGTCTTTGAGTCTCTGGCTCGGCTGTACTTGCAGGATGATTCTATCTACGAAGATAGACTGCCAAAGAACGCTTTTCCCAGACTTGACCAGGGGGAATTAATGCTTCTTCTGCGCCCTTTCTCGGCCTGCGACATTCACCGTGCCATTTTTTATATGAAACCTTACCAAGCCCCCGGGCCTGATGGGTTCCAAGCGGTCTTCTATCAGCAGATGTGGCGGGTGGTGGGAAGGGCACTAACAGATTTGGCCATTAATTTCTTCTCTACAGTTTTTTGCCAGAAGCGGTCTCAGAGTCTACGGTGGTGTTAATCCCGAAGGTTGATAACCCGGAGTTCGTTGCTCAGCTGCGGCCCATATCCCTCAATAATGTCAATTTGAAGGCGCTATCACTAAGGCTATGACCAGCAGACTGAAACCGGTGATGAGGAAATTGGTGTCACCAAGGCAGAGTAGCTTCATTCCTGGAAGACAGACGACGGACAATATCATCATTGTGCAGGAAGCGCTTCACACTCTCGAGAGGAAAAAGGGGAAGAAAGGAGGGCTCATCCTGAAGATTGATTTGGAAAAGGCGTATGATATGCTGAGATGGGATTTTCTGCGTGACACTCTCAAGGAGGTAGGGCTGCCCAGTACGTGGATCAACTGCATCATGTATTGTGTGGAGCAGAACCGCATGAGGATCCTCTGGAATGGGGAGTTGTCCCCAACTCTGACCCCGACTCGGGGAGTGCGCCAGGGAGACCCTCTTTCTCCCTACCTTTTCGTTTTGTGCATGGAACGTCTTTCTCATATGATTGATAAGGCTGTTGAGAACAGGAACTGGAAACCCATCCACCTGACCAGGGGAGGGCCGCCCCTTACTCACCTCTTTTTTGCAGATGATCTTCTTTTGTTTGCAGAAGCAGAGACGAGACAGATCAGGGTCATTCGGCAGTGCTTGGAGGACTTCTGCTTCAGCTCCGGACAAAGAGTCAATTACAGTAAGTCCCTGTTGTATGTGTCGCCTAATGTGGATCGACAGAGGGCGGAACATTTTAGCAGACGGGCTGGCATTCCTCTTAAGAGGGAGCTAGGGAAATACCTGGGGCTTCAGATTATCCATGGAAGGGTCACTCAAAGCCGCTATCAGAATCTGCTTCTCCGTATCCAACAGAAGTTGGCTCCCTGCAAGGCAAACAAACTTTCTTTTGCGGCCAGGCTTACTGTTGTCAAATCTGTTTCATCCTCCCTTCCTACTTACTGCATGAATACTGAATTAATCCCCAGTACTGTGTGTAAGAGTATTGACAGGATGAACAGGGACTTCATATGGGGAGACGAGGAAGACAAGTCGAAGATGCACCGGGTAGCCTGGGACAAGATGACGCAGCCGAAGTTGCAGGGTGGAGCTGGTCTAAGATCTATCAAGCAAGCGAATCTCGCGATGCTTGCTAAGAGCGGCTGGAGATTAATGAAGGAGAAAGACAGCCTCTGGACTCAGTTAATGGTGGCTAAATATGGTCGTCAGAGAGAGAATCTTGAGATCATCCGTCCTATTCAGGGAAGTTCCTTTACATGGCGAAGTTTTTCTAAAGCTTCTGATATTCTCCGGAAAGGCTGTGCTTGGAATATTAAGAACGGTAAACGCACTAAATTCTGGCTTGATCCTTGGGTTTTGCAGGTTCCGCTTAAGGAGGTTGCCCATGGTTATATCCCGGAGTCTTATGTCGCGGAGCCGATCGAGAGCTTTGTGGAGGAAGATGGTACATGGCGGACGGAGCTTTTTGAAGACCTCATCCCGAGTGAGGTGTTCCAAAAGATCCTTAGCATTGGAGTTGACAAGATGGCCACGGAGGAGGGTACCATCTTCTGGTCTGCCTCGTCGGATGGAAGGTTCTCGGCTAAATCAGCATATTCTCTCCAGAACCAGGGTCCGCCTGACCCGGATGAGGAAGTCTGGAAGATCATATGGAGCCTGCCTATTCCGGAAAGGATCAGGAGCTTTATGTGGCTGGCTTTCTTGGGGAGGTTGGCTACTAAATCTCTTCTGTTCTCAAGGAAAGTTACAGACAGCTAGAGCTGTGTTAGCTGCGGGCATCCGGTCAAATCCATCATGCATATGTTACGAGATTGCACTGCGGCCAGGTACTTTTGGCTCCGTCACAGCCCGCCTGGACTTCAGTCGAGCTTCTTCACCATGGGCGAACGTGATTGGCTGCGCGAGAACCTTAGGAGCAGCGAGAGCTTGGGCTCGGGCATGAGCTGGGCAGCTTGTTTCAGCGTTGCATCATGGCTTCTTTGGAAGAATCGGTGCACGTTCTGCTTCAGAGGGTCAAACTCTGCACTCTCTCCTCCTTCCCTTGAGTACTCGATTATGGCAAAGTGTAAGTTGTGGTATGAGGCTTGGCAAGCCCCCTCCCCCCTCCCCAGTGGTAGAGGGCGGACGAGCGCTCGTACTACGGTGATGGTTGGGTGGACTCCCCCGATGCATGGTTGGGTGACTCTTAACGTGGATGGGGCCTCTAGTGGCAACCCCGGAGCTGCTGGAGCAGGAGGGGTGCTCCGCGACTGGGCAGGTAATTGGATCGCTGGTTTCATTGCGAATTTTGGGACGGCCACGGCTATTTTGGCTGAGTTATGGGCAGTGTATCATGGTTTGGATATGGCTTGGAAGAAAGGGTACAGGGCAGTGCGTCTGGAGTCTGATTCCCAGCTTGCGATCCAGCTCATCAACAACAGAAGTGACCCTGTCCACCCTCATGCTACCCTCC